ACCCTATGAAGGATTGGAGTTGCCTCCTGATGCAAGGAGCCTCCCAACCCAACATATCTGCAACCTTGTGCGGGTCCATCCCCTGTCCCTCCCCTGAGATGCGGTAGCCCAGGAAATCCACATCACTCTTATGGAACTCACATTTGGAAAGTTTGGTGAACAATCAGTGTTTATATAGGGTCTCCAGTATCTCCCGTGCCAAAGTCACATGAGAAGGAAAAAGGAAGAGTTGGATTTATACTCTACCCTTCACTACCTGAAGGAGTCTCAGAGTTATCAAGCGAATAGATATCATCAGAATAAACTAAGACTCCCTTGAACAGGTGCTTGTGCAGCACTTCATTGATCAAGTTCAAAAAGACCCCCAGGGCCCCAGCCAATCCGAATGGCATAACCAGGTATTTGAATTGCCCCAATGGTGTGTTGAATGCCGTTTTATGCTCGTCCCCCTTCTGGATTCGCAAACGAAAATAAGCATCCCTCAAATCCAGTTTGGTGAAGATTTTGCCCCTCGAGGCTTCAGTTAAGAGGTCCTTGATCGAGGGAAGGGGGTAGGCATTAGCTGCAGAGACAGCGTTTAAACCCTGATAATCCATACACAGCCTGATTTTTTGTACCTAAGTGTAGGACTTTGCATTTATCTCTATTGAAATTCATTTTATTTGTCTCATCCCATTGTTCCAGCCTATCTAGATCTTTTTAAATCCTGACTCTGTCTTCTTCAGAATTAGCAATCCCACCTAACTTCGTTTCATCTGCAAATTTGATAAGCATCCCCTCTATGTCTTCCTCCAGGTCATTTATAAAAACAGAGAACAACACTGGGCCTAGGACCGAGCCCCGCAGCACTCCACTCGAGACTTCCCTCCACGTAGACGCAGAGCCATTTACGAGCACTCGTTGGGTATGATTTTTCAACCAACCATGAATCCATCCAACAGTTGCACTATCCAGCCCACACTTAACCAGCTTATGCTCAAAGATAAGCAGGCTCACTTCATCCTGTGTAAACAACTGCCCACTGCTAAGGTCTTGGCTAAATTGTTCATGCATCATGTAGTGAGTTTGCATTCAGTGCCCAGCAAAATAATCGCCAACAGAGGAGCCCAGTTCGTTGCCAAGTTCTGGAAGGAGTTTTTGCAGGTTTGGGGCATTACCAGGGGGCTCAGCACAGCCCATCATCCAGAGACACATGGACAAAAATGAATGTGTTAATCAGATAGTTGAACAATTTGTACGCTGCTTTACCAACTACCAACAGGATGATTGGGCTGACCTGTTACCTTGGCTGGGTGCTGGGTCTGCTCCTCTCTGTCAGCTAGGCCTCTGTCTAGTGCTGACTGCCATGGGAGTGGGGTAACTCTGGAATGTTAAGTTTCTATTCTGCTGTGTCTTCTGTGTTGGCGGGCTTCGACCTGACCCCTGATTGGCCCTGGTCCATTAGGAGGCCTCCTTGAACGATGTATAACGCTTTGCACGCTCTTATTTAGTTCTAACATGAAATGGTTAAGATATCTGCATACTATCAATTGTCTCAATAAACTTTACTTCTTTGAATGAAAGCTGCTGGGAACTGATTGCTGCAGGAGTCTGACACTCTCTCCCGCCCACTGGCATCCTGGCCACTGTTCCCTGACAAAAGAAACTGCCAAAATGGCTGTCTCTCCTAACGAAAACAGTTCTGCTGCTGCTTGGCTTCTCTGTGGCTGGCTGGCTACTGAGGTGGGCCAGCAGCAGTCAAACCATTCTCTTCTCCTGCTGTGTGGCTCACTTTCCCCTCAGGGGTTGTTGCCAGGTAACCAAGCTTGGTTTTGTCAGTAAAAAGGTGGAAGGAAGAGGCCCTTTCCAGATCTACTTTGGTCTTTGTGGGGAACTCATTGGGGCCAGTCCTGAATAGGGTTGCCAGCTCCAATTTGTAAAATTCCTGGAGATTTTGTGGTGGAGTTTATGGAAGCCAGAGTTTGGGGAGGGAAGAGGCCTCATCTGAATAGAATGCCATTGAGTCCACCCTCTTCAGAGCAGGATCCGCCAGACCCAAGTTCTTGCTGTGGAAGCTAAATGGGTGATTTTAGACAAGTCACAGATTTTCAGCCTAATCTACCTCACAGGGTTGCTGTGCAGATCAAAAGGGGGAGAGGAGAATGATGTAAGCTGCTTTGGTCGTCTTTGTGGAGAAAGACTATTCTTTTCTTCCTGGGGGACCATTGTTTTTTTTTTGTTGTTGTTTATTTATAAAATTTAAAATTTAAACTGGGGGACCATTGTTGCCAGTCTCCAGATGAGGGCTGGAGATCACTCAGAATTACAACTGCTCTCCAGATGGCAGAGATCAGTTCCACTGGAGAAAATGGTAAACTCTGTGTCATTATACACTGCTGAGGTGGCCATCCTATGACAGCCAGTGTGACGTAGCAGTTAGCGCTTCAGAGCAGGGTCTGCCAAACTAAGGTTCTTGCTGTGGAAACTGAGTGGGTGATTTCGGACCATTCACAACTTTCAGCCTAACCTACCTCACAGGGTTGTTGTGCAGATGAAAAGGGGGAGAAGAGAATGATGTGAGCTGCTTTGGTCCCCACTGCGGAGAAAGACTGTACTCTTCCTAGGTAGAGGCTGCAGGGAGGCAGGAGGAGATGGAAAGCTGAAGTCAGAGGGGCAGATAAAGGAAGGTTGATGGTTGGTTGGGAAGGAGATAGGGTTGACAACTCCAGGTTGGGAAATCCCTGGAGATTTGAGGGGTGAAGCCTGGAGAGGGTGGGGTTTGAGGAGGGGGTGGAACCTCAGAGAGGTACAATGCCATAGACTCCACCCTCCCAAACCAGTCATTCCCTCCTGGGGAACCAATGTTGCCAATCTCCAGGTGAGGGCTGGCGATCACACTCAGAATTACAACTGGTCTTCAGGTGGCAGAGATCAGTTCCCCTGGAGAAAATGGTGGACTCTGTGTCATCATACCCTGCTGAGGTCGCCACAGCAAACTGACGCTGAGTGCCCAAAGCTGGGGCACCCACCCAGAGCCTCCTTCTAAAGCCCGTATTTATTTCCACAATGGGCCTTATTCCTAGTTTGAAATAGTGACTGTAGTGTACAACAAAACATGGTCATTTGAATCTAAATTCTGTCGAAGGCTTTCACGGCTGGAGTTCATTAGTTGTAGATTTTTCAGGCTGTATGCCAAGATCATGGCCATACAGCCCGGAAAATCTACAACAACTAATCTAAATTTTGTTTCATTGACAGAATAGCTGGTCCTGGTCTTTTTTTTGTTACCTTGGGTTATAAGCAAGCAAAATTATATTTGATTATAAGACAATAAAAATGACAACTTGGACCAAAGAAACTTGGCTTCAAATAAAATAAGCTCACTGGGTGACCCTGAACTCCCACAGGTCTGTTGTGAAAAGAGAACTCAAAAACCCTGTGCAAATTACACCATAAGCTCCCTGAAGGAAAACTGAGATATAACATTTCAAACTCCCTCCTGATTTAACCACCCAAGTGTGGGTGGCCCAGACTAGCCTGATCTCCCAGATCTTGGAAGCCAAGCAGGGAGACCACCCACTGGTCATTCATTTTAGCTGGGGAAGTAAAGCAGCACATGCCTAAGCCTCACCTACTGAGAGCAACAGGATTTCAATGAACTTGACTCTTTTTCCCTTAAGGCCCCCATGGCCATTATTAGGAGAGGGCCACTAAAAACAAACGACCATTGGTACTCACCGTGAGGGGTCATTCTCCTCTGAGGATTGGAGGACATCCTGTGTGGGTGATTCCCGTCCATCATTCAGGGAGGCAGGGCTTACAAAAGAACTTCCTGTTTCCTGTGGCGGGAGTCACCTTTTCCTCAGTTCGGGTACTCCGAAAAGCAGTAAAGGCTGATAACCTATTAACGACATCCTTTTAAAAGAACATAACCACGTACAGGAAATTCTTAACTTCTCTCTTTCTACAATAGGGTTATATACATAAGATAGTAGTACAGTTAGAACGTAGGGAATGTAGAAACTTAGTCTCCAATACTCACGCATGACGGCGACCTGGGAGGGCCAGGATGTCCTCCAATCCTCAGAGGAGAATGACCCCTCACGGTGAGTACCAATGGTCGTTCTCCCTCTGAGTTGGAGGACATCCTGTGTGGGACCTTCCCGAGCAGTGTCCCTAATGTTGGGATGGGAGGTCGTCCGCATGTGAAAAAACACAAATTGCAGAACCCTTCTGCCAAAGGCCGCCTTTGCCGAATCGTATATATGAATATTTTGTTTCATTGACAGAATAGCTGGTCCTGGTCTTTTTTTTGTTACCTTGGGTTATAAGCAAGCAAAATTATATTTGATTATAAGACAATAAAAATGACAACTTGGACCAAAGAAACTTGGCTTCAAAAAAAATAAGCTCACTGGGTGACCCTGAACTCCCACAGGTCTGTTGTGAAAAGAGAACTCAAAAACCCTGTGCAAATTACACCATAAGCTCCCTGAAGGAAAACTGAGATATAACATTTCAAACTCCCTCCTGATTTAACCACCCAAGTGTGGGTGGCCCAGACTAGCCTGATCTCCCAGATCTTGGAAGCCAAGCAGGGAGACCACCCACTGGTCATTCATTTTAGCTGGGGAAGTAAAGCAGCACATGCCTAAGCCTCACCTACTGAGAGCAACAGGATTTCAATGAACTTGACTCTTTTTCCCTTAAGGCCCCCATGGCCATTATTAGGAGAGGGCCACTAAAAACAAACACAACGCGGCCCCTTTTATTTTCTAGAATCAGGCAATCAGAACCATAAGAATTGTTAAGGAACTTCCAGGTAAAATCAGCCTCATTTTCTTCTGTAGAATACCCAGTAAGTGAACCTACACAGTTTGATTTTCTTCTCCTCTCTTCTGAGATTCTCTTTCCAAAACACCCAACTTTAACATCACGGTCACACATAGTTTCTTCCATTTTTGATTTTGCACAAGAATAAAGATTACTCTTTATTTATTTAAAGAATAAAGATTTATTACCATCAGACTCACTCGTTCTCCTCTCATCCAGCAACGGATCCGGGGAATCCATATTGAGAAGGGCCTCGGCGGCTTCAATGGTTTGCATTGTTTCATCTTCTCCATTAGGACAGGATGCTTCAACTGCAAGAAAGGGGCGGAGGGAGGAGACAAAGGGGAGAGGAACTGATGAATGCTCTAGCATGCAATACAGAAGAAACCTTTTGCTTGACTCCACAGATGCGACCCGGCATGTAAGCACAGCAACTCTTGTCTCATTTAGTTGGTTATGTACCCCAGTTTTCACTTACCTTAGTTCTCTGCTAGCCCAGTAATTATGTGTAAACAGCTGTTAAACACAAGAAGCTCCCTTATACTGAATCAGACCACTGGTCCATCACTTCACTGTAGCGCTCAGGGCTGATTTGGGACAGAGACGTTGAGGATGAGAGCCTCTGTTTGCGGAAGAAAGCGGTCCGATGAATGTAACTCTTAAGTGCCCTACGCACATCTAGTGTGTGTCCAGTCTTCCCCTTGGCGTGGACTGGGTTCGGGCAGAAGAAGAAGAAGGGAGATATATCTCCTGGGAGTTGTGGAAGACAGAATTAACTTTGGCACTGAAGGTGGGATCTGTTCTAAGTACTACCTTGTCCTTATGAAAGACGCATAGGACCGAACGCACCGACAGGGCTCCCCTCGTCCACCATCGGAGACACGACTTCACCTGACGATTGGCCAAAAACCAAAATGAAGCATCTTTGAAAGGAGAGCTCTTTCCAGATAACTCCGCCTGTAAGGCAAGAAAATCCTTGGAGAGAGGGTGGGAGGGACGAGTCTATGCAGACGTCCCAGTCCCATGAAGAATACCAAAGGGCAAAACTCAAACATTTGAGAAAACAAATGGAAGAATGCGATCTGGTGTGTTGGATAGAAGCAATAAGGATAGAATGCAATAAGGAGCCAGACGGCCTTTCTCCCCCTGTTGCAGGGATGCCTGTGGCTTATAATTTATTAATTACCATAAGAATAACTATAATTTGCCATGGCTATTAGCACCCTGCCCTTGTTTAGCATAGAATGGGAGCTTTCCCATTTATGAATAGGAGAGTATGTCAGAATGTCAGCACCGTGTTAGGCTGTGACGAGTACGCATCTCTAGCCCGTAATCCATATTCGTGAACATTAAACCCAGAAGGCAAGGTTAAACTTTATGCTCTCCAATCTCTTTCCTTGAAAGCCCAATCCCTCTGCATGTTGCAGTGCAGGTAGAGCAAGGTGCTCTTTAAATCTAGGCTGCTCTTAATGCAGCGCTTGTGGGAGGGTTGTTTCCCTTTGAACATACCTGTGAAGGAAAGGTTAGACCAAAACACGAAACACAGAACGCAAAAACACAAAAGGTGGTTGGGAGAGTTTGGTCAATCTCTCTCTCGCTACCGATTTAGTGACACATCTGCTTAAAGGTTCTAATCTCAAGGCCGAAATGCTTAGATCTGAACAAAGATTCTTTGTCCCCTTCTGCGTCTCTGCCAACGCTGCCAACTGGCTCCGTTCCTTCCAGAACCAGGAGATTGGCATCCTTTAAAGCACTGACGTGGGACATGCCGCCACTTGTTGTCAGAACTTGTTCGCAGAACTATTCTTTATCACCTTTAGAAGCAGACGTCCAAGGAAGGGCACCCAAGGAAAAGGTACTTCAAAGGCAGATCCCTGCTGTAAAGAATTCCTTCCCCAAAAACCCTAAGCTTCGTGTCAAGTGTCCAGTGCATTTGCTCTGAAGGACAGGGGCCTGTATCTTCTTAACAGGAGAAACACAAACAGAGGTATTATCTGGTAGGCACTCTAAACACACGGAATGGTCCCGGCCAAGAGTGTGGGCTCTCTTGGTCGACTCAAGAGACCAGAGGAATCACCTGCAATAGACCTCAGTCGGGGAGGTGGGGTGACTCAATACATGGCTCCCCCCCTTCGAGCCACGGTGCGTCCTGGAAATGCAGATTCTGCACATAGACAGATTCCTAAAACACAAGAGCCTTGTCAGGGTAAAACTCAGAGTTCCCGCTCTGCCCTGAAGGGTGCGAGATTTGTTTTAGTGTCAGGTAAGGCACTGGACCCTGGAGGGGGGGTGCCTGTCTCTGTTGACACAGAAGATTGAGAGAGATTTTTTTTTTTTCCCCAAAATGGGGGTTGCTAGGCGTTCCCGAGCCTGCAAGGCCCGCTCGCTCTCTGTGCCTCAATGCTGGGGTTGGCACGGAATTGACCAGAATCCCAGATGGAGTACATCGAGGCTTAAAACAAATGAGAATCCCAGAGGTGTGCTAACTTAAACAGCACATAAAGGGAAAGTCTTTGAAGGGAGCTCTTTCCAAGGCTCAGCCTGGAAGGAAGACAATCCTAGGGAGGGAAAGGGTGTGGGCAACGGCCTGTGCAGACTGTCCAATCCACAGAAATGCACCCCACCAAAGTGAAAAGACATTTGGCAAACGCAATGCAGAATATATATAACCGTGTGTCTCCCAGCTGTGAGCCAAGCCTCTGTCTCATTACTGGCTGGCTGCACATCCTCACTGCATGCGACTGCAGTGGGGCAGGGGGAGGTTGATCCCTTTAGATCCACATTGCTGTAAAACAGCGTGTTAAGGCGGGGGCGGGGTGTCTCCCTCTTGTTAGCACGTTCCTGCAATGGAAAGGGTGAAGACAAAAACACATCAACATAAGGTAGTGGGAAGGAATTTGGTTAATCTCTCTTCTTCTACCTGCCGTCTTGCGGCTCGACCCGTGCGGAAAAAACCCTGCATCGACAAGACTATTGGGTCTCGACACCGCTGTTTTGAGTCTCAAACAACAAGTCAAGCCTAAGGCTACACTGCCTGGGTGCTGATCAAAGTTCACTCTCTTTTCAAGCGTCTCCTGGAAATGCGTTTGTTAACAATTCCTATGCCGACCATGGGGTGGCGTGCTACAGTCGCTCTGGCTTGGGACTAGCTCACTCTAGTGGCCGGTGTCTGTCTTTGCCAGGCAAGGCATCGATCCGTTGTCCCAGTTTTCTTTTGGACAATTGTGCACTCGCGTCCTTGAAGCACACATTTACGAAGAAACCATATTTAAAAGAACCCACGCAGTGCAGAGAGCATCCACATGAAGTTCCGTCATCCTCTCTCATCCAGAGGGTTTTTTTTTTCTTTTTTTTTTCTCAAGCAAGCCGCTTTGGAATGGTACCCGTGAGAACAAAGACTTCCCCCTCAGACCTCATTGTCTGCGAGGTTGCAGTCCTGGGGGCATTTTACAAGTAAAAGGAAACTTCCAGCTTGGGCCAGAAATATATTCTATATCCCCCTCAAAATGAGGAAGGGGGACTCTCCTTGAGAAGAAAATACTTTCCAAGGGCCCGGGACTCTTGCAGTTAATTCCGAGTAAACTTCCCTCTTCTCCAGGGTCACTTTACACATCAAAAGGGTGTACAAATGGCTGGGCATTGTTCTCCACCAGAGTAGAAGGTGGAGGGGGGGAGGGGGGGAGGAGAAGGCAATTCTCTCTCGCTCTCCAGTTTTTTTCCATGAGCCTTCCTGCAGAGCTGGTTCAGCCAAGGTTTTGTTGGTTGCTAAGAGTTGTCACACATGGGAAATGCAGGGCACCCGTCCCTCAATGAAAGACCTCCTTTGAAATCATCAAAGATTTTCCAAAAGGCATGAAACTGCAAACAAATGAGCGGTTTCACCTATTCCTCCCAAGGCTTCCGTGGCACGCAGCGCGCGGGGGTTTTGGTAAGGTTAGGGCCGAGGAGGAATGCGCTTACGTCCTTAGCCTACCCGTGGGGCAGGGTTGATTTTCTCCCTCTTAGGCGGTCTGGGAGCGGGACGCTTAGGGCGGTATTGGCCTGCCGGTTAAGGGAGCCGTGGACCGGTGACCTGGGCCTCTTCTTTCCTTCCTTCCCCCCTCTTTCCGGCTCATCTCCTCCCTAGCTTGCCTTAAAAGGGACATGGCCATCAGAGCTCAGGAACAGGGGACCGCGAGCGGGTACATCACCACTTTGCTCCTCTCCGTCGTCGTCCTCCTCCTCATGGTGGCGCCAGCATCCCGGAGGCTCGGTGCTGATACCGAGCCAGACAGGCGCTCATGGGCCTTAGCCGAGCGAAGGGAGCGCCCATTTTGCGTCCTCCTCCTCCTCCTCCTCGTTGTCTCCGGCCATCGTGGCCTCGGAGGCTCGTTGCCGATGCCGGGCCGGACAGGAGCTCATGTGCCGTAGCGGAGCTTCGTGAGCGCCCGTTCGCATTTGCGGGCGATTTAGGCGGGGATCGGCAGCTAGAACTGCCCCCCGAATCGAGAGCGCCCGATGAGGGCGGCTTCAGCCGAGCCGGATGCGCGCTCATGGGCCGTGGCCGAGCTTGGCAAGCGCCCATTTGCAGTTGCGGGCGATTCAGGCGGGGATCGGCAGCCAGCGCTGCCCCCCGAATCAGGCGGGGATCGGCAGCCAGCGCTGCCCCCCGAATCAGGCGGGGATCGGCAGCCAGCGCTGCCCCCCGAATCAGGCGGGGATCGGCAGCCAGCGCTGCCCCCCGAATCCAGAGCGCCCGAAGGCGGCTTTAAACTGGCCTTGTGCTGCTCCGCATCGTCCTCCTGGTCCATTGTTTCTCCCTGCGGCGGACCACGTGCGCCGCGCGCTCGCGGCGCTTGCGGCGGCTGCGGTTAGAGGCGGCTGCGGCTAGAGGCAGAGTAACTGCAGCGGAGCGCGGCCTCCGATCAAAGGCGATCGGGTGAGGAGGTAGGATTTAGGAGGCAAGCTGGAAGAGAGGAGGAGAAGATCGGCAGTTCTAGGAGATGAGGAGAGGAAAAAACTGGGGGGGTTAAAAGGCCCCCCTTTGTAATTATTATTGTTATTATTTTTATTTTTTTGATAGAAGGCCGTCCAGAGAAAGGTCTGAAAGAAAAGGGGAAGAAAGGAGGGTTAATGCTCTACAAGAAATAGCTTAGCAAGAAGGTAAGAAAGGTAAAAGGTTTGGCAAAGCCTAACGAGCTGCTCTCCCTCTTGAGGCAGGAAAAGAACTGAGGAAAGGGTGACTCCCACCACAGGAAACAGGAAGTTCTTTTGTAAGTCCTGCCTCCCTGAATGATGGATGGGAATCACCCACACAGGATGTCCTCCAACTCAGAGGGAGAAAACCTTGTTTGCAAGGGGACATGGGCGGGCGCCGGATGCCACACCTTTTGCTTGACTCCACAGATGCGACCCGGCATGTAAGCACAGCAACTCTTGTCTCATTTAGTTGGTTATGTACCCCAGTTTTCACTTACCTTAGTTCTCTGCTAGCCCAGTAATTATGTGTAAACAGCTGTTAAACACAAGAAGCTCCCTTATACTGAATCAGACCACTGGTCCATCAAAGTCGGTACTGTCAACTCAGACTGGCAGCAGCTCTCCAAGATTTCCAGTAGAGGCCTTTCACATCACCTACTACCAGATCCATTTAACTGGAGATGCCAAGGATTGAACCTGGGACTTTTTGTTTGCAGAGCACACAATTGTAGAATTAAATCAGACCATCAGTCCATCAAAGTCATTATTGTCTACTCAGACTGGCAGCAGCTTTCCAGCAGGCTCTCAAGCGGAGGTCTTTCCCCTCTCCTTCTACCTTGTCCTTTTAACTGGAGAACCTGGGGCCTTCTGCATGCCAAGCAGATGATCTGCCACGGAGCCATGGCCCCAGCCCTCCCTAAGCTCTTCAGACATCAGCCATGCCAGGTAACACAGGACTAAGACGGAGCATTGTTTGCTACATAGGAAATAGAGATAGTTGGATTTAGCTCTACTACAGGCAAAGCCACGATTTTAAAAAGGCTGTATCAGAGGAAAGGAAATAGAAATAGGAACTAATATCTGACAAAAGGAGCTCATACACTGAAAATCTTGTTGGTCTCTAAAGTGCTACTGGACTGGAATCTAGCTAACATAGACAGTAATCAATAATTTGATTTTGGGGGGGGGGTCAATTTAACAGAAAGGACAAAAAAGTGAAGCAGTTAGGATTTTAAAGAAACAGGGACAGAGGTGAAGAAATAAACTGCTTCTTGGGTTTGAGCATTAGCCCAGTGAGTTTGAGCGGGATTTATTTTTCTCTTTAAACCAGTGACCCCACCCAACCGACCTTATCATGAAATACTTTGAAAGCTGAAGAAATTTCAAAAGCAGACTGAAAGGCGAACATTTGTCGGAGAATGTGGAAGTGACAGGAAGGGAATTCTGGTTTCTGTCATGAGCCCATAGACTAAGGAGTGGCCCTTCATCTCCCTAGCAACCCGGCTGGCTGCAGTTCTGTAAAGTCTTGGGAAAGCCCATTCCACACTTGGCCTCGACTCCCTGAGCTGGGACCCTCTATATGTGCAGCATCTACATCAGAGCTAGGCACTCCCTCCACAGTAGTCAGTCAGGGTAGGCCACTGGATAGCAAAGGCTTGGACTCCAAAAGCACTGGCCACAGCTCCCCAGCCATAAAATGGAAACCAGGATGCCACCCATTCCAAGTGGGTGGCAGCCTCTGCACAGCATGCCCTAGTGCGGCAGCCTCTGCTCACGCTTGTTGTGAATGGACCGCCCCATGAGTGGAGACACCTTGATGGGCAACGGAGGACAGAGAACGTCATGCACTGAGTTTTAATGAGGGCCAAACTCAAGGGGAGGGAGGGTCTCTGGCTCAGTGGCATCCGCTTGGCATGCAGAAGGTCCCAGGATCAATCCCTAGCACTGACAGTTAAGAAGGACCAGGCAGTAGGTGATGTGAAGGACCTCTGCCTGAGCTCTTGGAGAGCTGCTGCCAATCTGAGTTGACAATACTAACCTTGATGGACCGAGGGTCAGTCAGTCAGTCAGTTGATTATTACAGTCTTCGACCAGTACAATTCAATCAATTTGAAATGCAATGAAAAAGAATCCCCAAGATTCTATAACAACAAGAAAAAGCTCATAATACCATACAAGTTTAAGGGTTATAAAAAAAAATGAGAGGAATAGAATTGCATTTTTAACCTTTCAAACCATTTAAAAAGTCACTTAAAATTTATTAAAATGTAAAGCTATGGCCTATTTGCCTCGCTTTTTGCGTTCCTTATAAACCTGGGTGCAGAACCTAGCCACCTGTCTTGTTGTCTAATGGTTCCTATCTGAGGGTCTGATTCAGTGTAAGGCAGCTTCATGTATGTTCGTGTAATAAGAATGCAGAACTGATTGCAGAGAAGGAGGAGAGGAGATTGGATTTATACCTCGCCCTTCACTACCCAAAGGAGTCTCAGAGCGGCTGACAATCTCTTTTCCCCTCCCCTCCCCACAACAGACACCCTGAGAGGTAGGTGGGGCTGAGAGAGTTTTTTTGAGGACTGCTCCTGAGAGAACAGCTCTGAAAGACTGAAGGTGAATGAGTGGCTTGTATACGGAGTACCTGCTCACTCGTATTCCTTTACGCAACTATGGCTAGTTCAGACATTCAATACATTCAGCTGCTAAAGATCTAAAGCTTCCAGGTTCAAGTCAGCAGAATGCTACCACTTTTACTACTCAAGCCTAACCCCACTGCCTTAAACTGTCTCAGGCTGGAATGAACTCTGCATGGATGTATGAAGAGCCTGGAAGAGTTCACACAGAAGGTGCAGGTGCAGTAGATCTTTCCCCACCTTCCTCACCTTCAAGCAGCCTATCACGTGTCCTGAAACCCTTCTCTGAGGATTGGGAGAGCCTCGCAAGCAAAACATGAAAATGGGGAATCAAGTGGGACGGTAGGTTTTCCCCTCGATCCCCTCACAGCTGCTATCAGCGGAAGACAGACAAAGAGGATATTCTGCCTGATTCCCTGCTGTTACCACAGGCAACCCCTTCACCCCAATCCTGTAGCACATTTTGCTTTCCAGGCTCTCCCAATCCTCAGAGAACAGTTTTGGGACAAACAGCATGCTGCCCAGGGAAGGAAGGGGAAGCTCCAGTCCGCTAACATCTTTCCCAAACTCTCCCAGTGGTTCTGACCCACCCTTTTTCCTGCCCAGGAATTAAGACCACAGGAGGAGGCCTTCCTGACCGTCCCACCAATCAAAGCAGCTCATTTGGTGGGTACATGAGAGAGGGCCTTTTCAGTAGCAGCCCCACGATTATGGCACAGTCTCCCCAGGGAGGGGCAACTGCCCCCCCTCTTCAATGTTTAGGAGGCAGCTAAAGACTGTTTTGTTTAGGATTGTATTTAACTAAAGCAGTCCTAAATTGTGATTTTAAAATTTGGATTTATGTTTTTAAATGTTTTAATGCATTTTATCAATCCTGGAAACCACCTTGAGCTCTGTAGGAAGAAAGGCAGCGAATAAAGATTTTAAACAAATTATTTGTCACGGTGTCTGAACCGGCAAGTAACAGTTCCAGTCGTGCCTCCAGAGGCAGCTGCTACACTGAAGAGAAGAGAGGCCAGAGGGGGAGTCACAGGGTCCCAAGCAACAGTGTATGAAAATGCTCCTGTCACAAACCTGTGAGAGTGATGTCATCGTCTTCTATAATTTCTTCTTCTGCAACATCCAGTGAATTTTCTGTTATCATGACACTGTGTTCAGCCACACAGGATAAACCCGAGTAATTGTTCAGGAGATCAGCACTTGGTACGTGTTCCACGATGACAGCAGGAAAGATAGATGGATCACCCAGCTGTTAAATAAAGGAGGGGGGAATCAAGTCATGCTGGAGCTGCTCATCATGAATTGCACCAGCTCTCCAATTATGAAGTGCACTAGTCCTGGCGTTGCCTTTGGCAAGAGGTTTTTGGTCCTTCCAAACTCTGACAGCTTATGCAGCATAAGGGTCAAGGGACTGCGCCGAGAGCTTTGGCGTGTTCAGATCCAAATCTCACCGCAGTCATGAGCTCAAGAGGCTCCAAACAGACCACTCCCTCTGGTTCCCAGGCTCCATTCCGCACCTGTACGTTTGCAACCCACCTCTCGTCATTGCTCAAGGCAACTTTCAAATCCCAGTTTATTAAAAAAAAAGAAGCAAAAGCAAAGAAAGGCAAAATAAAATAATACCCCAAATACCAGCACCCCACAAATGCTTACACAAATAACCCTGACACTACAGCAATTACACACCCAAGCCCAATTCAAGATGTTGGTTATATCCCTTAAAGACTTACATGACTTGGGACCAGGGTATCCGAAGGACTGACCTCTCCCATACATATTCCTGCCTGGGAATTAAGATCATAGGAGAAGGCCTTCCTGACTGCCCCATCAATCAAGGAGGCTTGCCTGGCGGGCGCACAAGAGAGGGTCTTTTCAGTGGCAGCCCCACATTTATGGAACAGCCTCCTGCGGGAGGGGCACCTGCCCCCCCCCAATTTTCAATAGTTTGGAGACAGCTGAAGACTGATTTATGTACTGCATTTGATTAAAACAGTCCTAAATTGTGGTTTTAAATTTTGTTTTATGTATTTTTATGTACAGCATCATATAACAGAACAACCCCTCTGCAACTGGGGAGAGGGTTTTCGCACCTCAGTGCTAGTTTTAGGAGTTTCTGGATCCTGCCACTGCACCGGCACTAACCTCATGCAATGCACACAGACCACAAAGTACTATCTACTCAATATACAGTCTGATTCCAAAGACCAGTGGACATTTTCTTTCTTTTCTTTTCAAAACCTTTGATACAACACTATACACAGATGGTCAAACTCTTCTCCAGAAGCTCCAAGGACCTGAAAATACTTTTGATCCCCCTTTCGCCCCCAGCAACAGTAAACAGAAGGCGGACCACAGTTCACTGCCAGATCATTGCCCAACTTCTGGTGGATCATCCCACTTGGATTGTACATTAGATGTTCTTCAACCAAAGCAGATCGCAAAACAGATTCTTTCTGCGTTAACTGCCAAAAGATCCAGAATATGTGCTTTTGCTTTGTAAATAAAAAATGCATTCAAGGTCCACTAGAAATCTAGACAATAAAAGCTACCAAGGCAAGACTGAATTCAACCCACCACGGCTCTGCAGCTAAAATTCTCTGGAAGGTAAATTCTGCACTAGTCTCATTAAGGTACAGAGGAAAGGTTATTTCAACGGATTGGTCACACAACCATGCAAATATGTGTGCATAAAGCGCAGTCAAGTCACAGCCAATTTACAGAGACCCCAGCAAGGGGCTTTCAAGGCAAGGGAGAAGCAGAGGTAGTTTGCCATGGCCTTCCTCGGCAGAGTCTCCTTTGGTGATCTCCCTTTCAAGTACCGACCCTGCTTAGCTTCCGAGATCAGGCTGCACCACCCTGCCTTCCCTCCAATATATACATTTGCATAAATATTATCAGATAAACACACGTATACTCCTCTCCCTACTATAATGGCTTGGATACCAAGGAAGTTTCCCACTTTCAGGAGACACTGCTAGCTGAAGGGGAGGCAACTTTCATCAAGTCCCACTTCCCATAGGAGCCTGCCATACCCCCAAAACCATGTCCTGGGCAACCACCAGGAACAGCACCATAGGGGCTTGCAATAAGAGTGCTATCAATGAAAAATCACTCTAGCATATGCAGAAAACTTAGGTAGAATCCAAGGCAATATATTCAGACTTTCCACATACATATCGGCCATTGGCACTTACCGTGAAGGGTCCTTCTCCTCTGAGGTCAGGACATCTCCATGGGTTATTCCCACCATTCCTTTAGGGAGGCAGGAAACACTTTTCCCTCTTGCTGCCTTGGGAATAGCCCCGCTTTCAGTTCTGGGACTCCGCAAGCAGTAAACGCTAACCAAACTAACTCTCCTGTATAAGAACAGAAAACTCTGAAAACATTATTAACTTAAACTTGAGGACAGACAGTCTGACAGCAGAAAAGAGAAGAACTTAGAAGGAAGAAGAGATCAGCACCACAGATATAGAAGACGATGAATACGGGAGGGCCGAGATGTCCTCCTGACCTCAGAGGAGAAGGACCCTTCACGGTAAGTGTCTATGGCCATTCTCCCTCTGAGGTGGAAGACATCTCCATGGGATCTCCCAGAGCAGTGTCCCTCAATTGGGTGGGTCGCTTCGTCAGTAGCAATCAAGATGTGCTGAAGAACTCTTCTTCCGAACTCTGCATCCGCAGAGGCAAAGGTTTTCAGTTTATAGTGCCGGACAAACGTAGAGATGGAAGTCCAGGTTGTTGCTCTGCACACTTCATCTACCGTCTCCCGGTTTGAGAAAGCTGCGTTGGTGGATGCACTCCTCAGGGAATGCGCTGTGATTCCTTTAGGAACCTCCAGGCCAGCCGCCTTGTACGCCTCTGATATGCAGGATCTAAGAGCCGTGCTGATAGACGTCTTGTACATTCTGTCACCTACTCTGGGTGAAGATATATTGATGAACATGAAGTCCGTCTTCCTGATTGGTTCCGTCCTGAGAATGTAAATCTTCAGCGCACACCTAACGTCTAGCTTATGTCACAGGACCTCCTTAGGGTGTTTAGGCTTAGGACAAAAAGAAGGTAGATATACCTCCTGCGAACGGTGGAAAACAGACAACACCTTCGGCTGGAAGGTAGGGTCAGTCCTGAGGACAACCTTATCCTTGTGAAAGATGCACAGTGTAGACTTGACGGAGAAGGCGGCAATCTCTGATACTCGACGTGCCGATGTAATGGCCACCAGGAGGAGCGTCTTCATTCTTAGCCACCTCAAGGGAACCTCCCTAAGAGGCTCGAAGGGAGACTTGGTCAGAGCCGTCAGGACTGTATTTAGTTTCCACGTAGGGAACCGATGGGCCTGTGGTGGAGACTTTGCCGACGCTCCCTGCAGAAATAACTGGAGATGTGGATGTTTGGTTAACTTATATCCCCCCAGTAATGGAAGGACGGTAGATAATGCCACCAACTGTCTGCGAAGGGTAGCGACCAACCCGGAATCCAGACCATCCTGCAGAAAGGCCAACACGGAGGCCACTGTGGGGGACAGAGCATTGACCTTCTTCCTTCTGCACCATCTGACGAAAGCCTTCCAGGTCGTATTATATATACGGATGGTGGATTGTTGTCTGGATGCTAGCATCATATCCATCACCTGTGTTGAGTAACCCAGCTGGGAGAACTGTTGCCGCTCAATCTCCAGGCGGTTCGAGAGAGCCACTCTGGATGGGGGTGCCAGATTGGTCCCTGCAGCAGCATGTCCGCAGTCTTCGGCAGATGTAGAGGCAGCAAAATGGCCAGCTCCAACAGCGCTGAATACCAGGGCCGTCTTACCCACAAGGGGGCCACCAGGATGACCTGTGCCCTTTCCTCCCGGATCCGACGGATTGTTCTGGGAATCAGCGGAAGTGGAGGGAACACATAAAGGAGCCCCTGGGGCCAGGCAGCAGTAAGGGCATCTGTTGCTTCCGCTTCTGGATGATGATATCTCGAGAAGAACCGAGGAACT